AACCGCAAGTGTCAGCCTGGGCAAACCAGGAGCAATTGGGGCAATCACACACTGTCAAATGCGTCATGCAAAGTTACTTGTGGCACACGCTATGCGTCCACACATGCAGTCCGGGTACATCATATGATCCCATGACAGATCAATAGAGGCCACCCAGCGTGGTGTGTCATGAAGCTTGGTCAGAACCGGGTTGCGAGGATTCAATAGTAAGCACCAGCCACGCGTATAAAACGCGCATTGATTTTGGTAAAAATACACTCCACCACCTCCGCCCACGCCTACCCAATCCCTTTGTACAGTCCACCGCTCCCTTTCTTCAGGTGAACGGGATCCATTGATGAATGTATTATGTGGCGCACGAAGATATTGTATGCGCGATTATTCGCATCTTGTGATCGATTGATGCAACCATACGGCGCCCTGCTACCCCAGGCCCCCACCCTCGCCATCCCGCCCACACACCCCAGCCATCTTATGATAGCCCGTGCCGGCCCCCCATCCTGCTCCTCAAATGCACAGGCTCCACCACCCCAGTTTTCATCATGGCTCGCATGCTGACCGTGGCCGCCCTGGCCGTGTTCCTCCTGGCCGCGCCCGCCCTTGCGGCCCGTGACCTCAAGCAGCTGGGCGCTGTGACCAACGCCGTGAACGGCCTGCTTGGCACCGTCACAAACACTGTGGCCGGTGTCCCCATTGCCGGCCCCATCGTCGCCCCGGTCCTCGGCACTGTCGCCGGCACTGCGGGCGGCCTTGTCAACACCGTTGGCGGCGTCGTCAACACCGCCACAGGCGTTGTTGGCAGCCTCCCGATCGCCGGCCCCATCGTCGCCCCCGTCCTCAACACCGTCACCGGCACCGCGGGAGGCCTCCTCGGCACCGTTGGTGGCGTCGTCAACACCGCCACCGGCGTTGTTGGCGGCCTGACCGGCGGCTTGACTGGCGGCCTGCTCGGCGGCCTGCTGGGTTGATTGCCCAGCAGTTTGTGAAGAAGATCGCCTGTGCAACTGCAACGTTTTTTGTGCTCGTGCAATAAACAGCATCATCCACTGCACCTTCCACTTTGTTTGTGTGCAGTGAAGTAAACGCATGCAAATAATGGCCATTTCATTTCGAGGCTGCGCCTGTTTCTGGCCTTGCCACAATGTGTGATGCTCTCCAGAGGCCAACCACCCGCAGACTAACCTTACCGTGTAACGCTACGACGCGGTAGAAGCCTGATCCAATATGCAAAACACGTTGCCTGTGTCTTGCAGTGTGACTAGCTCCCAAACACGACTGCCTTCATCCAGCAAAAGCTGCCTCTGCTCCATCTAAGCCCATTTACAAACCTTGGAAGCACGACTTCCTGCTATCCAGTTCGTTCCCAGTACCTTGGTGATGTAATAGCTATTCTAGAATTACAAACAGACGTTTTGTTGCATGAATGGTGCTAGATTCATAGATGTATGCACGCACACCTAGGACCACTCACGTGTCATCAACCATTTGCAGGAAGAAAATTCTTTAGTTTACAGTAGTACTTGTTGTGCAGCTGTGAGCTTCCTTCTCAGGGCAATGTCTGGGTGGTGTGCACATGCATGCGCCGTGCATCCTTGCTGCCTGGCATGCCAAGCTTGTTGCCTGCCAGCCGTCAATCGTAGGTGCAGCGCACAAACCATCGCCAGCAGGCCTAGTTATGCGCCGGCCCGGTCGCCCGCACAGCAACTGGCCCCTGACCCCCCTCCTTCACAGCCTTTGGGGGCGCACAGCCCTGGCAGCCGCAGGCCCCTGCGACTGGGCCTACCGCAAGGATCAGCCATGCAACCGATTCTCATCACCCCGCCACCCATGGCGCGAGCCGTCGCATGTGCTCACGATATCCCCTCCCACGCCATCTGATAGTGCCTGTATGCCTGATGTTACCACTCTGTATGTGATGGAGCACAGGTAAAGCTTGCGTCCATCGGCACAATCTCGTCCCCAGCATCAGGGGACCCTTCCACATCTGCAGCACGCAATCTCGAGTAAGTCCATCCATAAATCACCTGCCATAAAAACAATTGCACGGAATCACTCAGCCACCCTGTCAACATTACCACTGCCCTCTCAACCCCAAAATCAGCACGTGCCACACAGCCGGTGCCGGGGAGTAGCTGCCTGTGCTAAATACATGCAAGTATGTTGTTGATATTGTCCCGACGAGCAGAAATGCATGTATGAATGGATTGGCAGCGGGCCATCGCCCGGCAACTGCAGGACCGGGGCGCATGCTTGATCACGAAAGACACGCGGAGGCTGTGCTGCACTCGGCAGCACAATACATTATGAATGAAGTTAATGGACACCTGCCAATAAGGAGTGTTGCAGCGCTCCTGATCTGCAACCTGAACCTGCTGTGCCCGCAGCAGATGTCAGGTAAGATCACTGGACTATCACCACGATGTTGTCAAATGTCATGACAGTGCCGGCGGCGGATTTGCCGAACTCAAACTGCAAGCAATGACAGTGGTGGGAGGCGTAGGTGGTAGGTCTGAAACTGGTGTATGTGCAATCTGGTTGACAGTGTTGTGCCAATGCAGTAGCTGGCACCCATGAGGGTGAATGAAGTTCCCTGTGACGTAACGACCAGCCGTAATCGGTCTGCTACAAGGCCTGCATCGCGCGAAACCACCCGGTGGTCGGGCGGCGCTGTTCTTACCTGAACGTGGTGTGGCCCTGTGGTAGGCGGCTTGACGCCGGCCAGGGTGACCGTCTTGGCGGCGGGGCCGACAGCAAAGCCCTGGGGGCTGACGGGCGCCAGGGTGGGGGTCTCTTGCAAGAAGAGCACCTGGGAAAGAAAAAGTGTTATTGTTGGTGGCGTGGGCTTTGACGCTTGCTCCAAGGGTTGGGGGGCAGTGATTGTTGTGGCGGCAGTGTTTACAATCCAGGCGATGCGTGGTTCGCAATTGGTGCTTGATACGGACTGGCTTGTGACGTGCAAGGTGCACAATATGCCTGACCGACGTGCGATTATGCACCATCACCCAGCGGGCGGCGAGAGCGTGGGCCGATGTCCGCACTAGCTGCGGGGTGCGCGCAGACGCGCACCTGGACGGTGGTCGCGACCGACGCAGTGACGGAGGCACTGATGGTGTAAGTCTTGGTCGCGTCCAGCTGCACGCTGGGCCCCACCAGCTGCAGGGCATATTGGTCGGCGCCGGCCGTCACGACCGTCGCCTGCGCCACGCCGGCAGCGTTGCCGGGGGTCAGAGCGGCGCCGGCAAACTGGGCGAAGACAAACTTGGGGGCGCCGGGGCCGCTGAAGTCCTCGCTGGTGGTGGCGAGGACAGTTGCGCCGCCGCCGCCGCCGCCGCCCCCGGGTGTGACTGGGTTGGTGGCTGGTGGTGCGGGTGCCGTGCCGTCTGTTGTGTCGAAAAGGATGGGTAAGTCAAGGGAGTGGCGACACATTGTTGAGACCAAAGTATAGGGCCGTCTGAGCTGGTAAGCGACGGGTCGGCAACGGCCACACGAAAAAGGAACGCAATGCATGAGCAAGAGGCACCACAAGTGACAGATATGCTGAAGATTGAACAGTATCATTGCGTTGTAGGTGGCGGTTCTTGGTTCTTGCAGCTGATTAGAAAGCTGACCTGCACGTGGTACTCAGCCGTGGCCGGCAGGATGACGTCAGCGATTGTCAGCGTCGTCCACGCGGTCCCCACTGTGACGGGCGCGAAGCTGGGCGCGAACGGTGTGTAGACCAGGTTTCGCAGGAACACCAGGGTCACCGGTGACGGTGTAGTAGCTCGCACTTGGACTCGCGCGGTGTACTTGCGGCCGGCCGTCAACTGTGTCCAGGGGCCCACAAATTGGAGGTTGTAGCTTGCAGTGCCTGCGGTGACGACGGCTGCAGAAGCGCCTTGCGTGCCAGAAGCGGCGGCGACTGCGCCGGCGGGCGCACCAAAGGCGAATGTCGCGGCTGCGCCGCCGTACTGGCCGCCCGATGCAGGGAAGGGTCCGGCGCCCTCAAAGTCGGTGCTGGTGGCGGCGATCTTGGTCGCAGTGCCGCTGCCGCCGCCGCCGCCTGGTGTGACGGAGTTGGTGGCTGGTGGTGCTGGTGCCGGGCCGTCTGTTGTGTCGAAGACCTCCAGGTTGTCAAAGAAGAGGGTGGTGCCCGCAGCCGCCAGGCCAAACTCAGCCTGAAATGAGAGGGGGTGAAAAGTGGGATGGGGATGGCAACGCACATGGCAAACAGCTGTTTAGGGAAGGAGGCAGGTAGCGACGCGCTGCTCGTGGACCACCTGACCAAAAGGACAATGCGTGGCATGACCTGGGCCCCCCAGCTCTGGTGGGGACTCAACAGACAACCCTATAGCCCCTTAGCTGCACATATGCACGCAGCACCGACTGCTGGCGTTGAAGGCTGGGTCCAACAAGGATCACACACCTGCACGTGGTACTCAGCCGTGGCCGGCAGGATGACGTCAGCGATTGTCAGCGTCGTCCATGCGGTCCCCACGGTGACGGGCGCGAAGCTGGGCGCGAAGGGTGTGTAGACCAGGTTCCTCAGGAACACCAGAGTCACCGGTGACGGCGCAGTGGCGCGCACTTGCACTCGCGCGGTGTACTTGCGGCCACCCGTCAGCTGCGTCCAGGGGCCCACAAACTGGAGGTTGTAGCTGGCAGTTCCTGCAGCGACGACGGCTGCAGAGGCGCCTTGCGTGCCAGAAGCGGCGGCGACCGCGCCGGCGGGCGCACCAAAGGCGAATGTCGCGGCTGCGCCGCCGTACTGGCCGCCCGATGCAGGGAAGGGTCCGGCGCCCTCAAAGTCGGTGCTGGTGGCGGCGATCTTGGTCGCGGCGCCAGGGACGACGCCTACAGGAGGCAAGTTGCCATTGTACACAGTGATGTCATCAAATGTCAGCACTGTGCCAACTGGTGCCGTTCCAAACTCGATCTGTGGTGGCGTGGTAGGGCAACACAACTCAGTTAGGACTCGCTGCATATCAAGGTTCACATCTCAATGAACAGTCGAGGTTGTGGACAGTCATGTTGTGAAAAAGGCCAAGTCAGCCCCGGCCAGAGAACGAGGCGAGCAGTGTAGGGGGCAACAAAGCACATGGCCTCCCCCGGTTTCCCGCCTGCATGAACTCACCTGGAGGTGGTAGTTGCCGTCGGTTGGCGGGCTGACCGGCGGCGTCAGCTCGAGGGTGCTGACAGCTGCGGTCAGGAAGAACTGCTTCAGCCCCAGCAAGGCATAGGTCCCCTCTCGCAGGAACAGCACGTTGATGGTGACAGCGGCGCCCCCTGGCGCGGCCGCCGACGCGCGGAGGCGTGCGGTGTAACCGCTGGCGGCCGCGAAAGGCACAAACGCGCTGACGAGCTGCAGATTGAAGGGCGCGGTGCCTGCGGCCGTCACGGTGACGGCGGCGGCGCCGCCCGCAAAGGAGGCCGTGGCCGCGGCGCCTGCGAATTGGGAGAGGGTGTACTTGTATGGGGCGGCCCCGGCGAAGTCCTCGGATATCGCAGGTATAAGGGTGCCAGCGGGCCCGGTCGGCGGCGAGGGTGGTGGAATGCCGCCGTCGGCGGTGACGGGCGGCAAGGGGTTGGGGCTTGGAGGCAGGGTCAGATCGAAGACCTGTGGGGCAGGGTGGTGCCAGCCAGGGGGTTTGGGGGGTGGTGGGTCAAGGGCGCAGCGGGTCCATGAGAGCGCAAAAACGATCTGGCTCTGCTCCCGCCTGCGCCGGCTGTAGGGCAGTAGCACACAC